ATATATATATATATATATATATATATATATATCCAATTTTTAGGTCTAATTCTTTAATTTCTCACAGAATATTGCTTCTGACTTTTGAAAAAGTAAAACCTCTCCCTTCTGTTTTCATTTGTTACCTATTTTTCCACAGCTTTTTTGAGATATACTTCACTTTAGTCATTTAAATTGTACAGTTAAGTGGCTTGTAGTATATTCCCAGAGCTGTGTAACCATCACTACAGTCAATTTTAGAACATGTTCATCATGTCAAATAAGAAAGCCAATGCCCCACTGCTGTTACCCCTCAATCCTTCCATCCATCCCCACACCCCTAGCTCAAGGCAACCACTAATTTATTTTCTGTTGGTATGGACTTTTCTGGACATTTCATTATAAATGGAACTATATAATTTGTGATCCTCTGTGACTGGCTTTTCAGTTAGCATGTTTTCAAGATTCATCCATGTGGTAGCATGTATCAGCATTTCATTCCTTTTTATTATCAAATGATATTCTGTTATATGGATATGTCGCATTTTGTTTAACCAGTCATAAAATAGTTTAGGCTGTGGTAAAGTGGTTCCTCTTCTGCATGATTTGAGTATGTTAGGTTATTTTCTCTGAGAACCCCTAAAGATGACAATTACAGTTTCATTCTGTCACCCCTATTGACTTAAAATTAGTATCAAATACAAATTGTAAATGTCTGTCATTAAAAAAATCTTTCCTTACAGCCTCTAACTTTCCATTTTAACAAATAAAACTTTTATAATTGAACTCTGACCTTTTTTAACCTTTTAAATTTAGGAATCATGTCAAAGCAAATATTTTTCTCATTTTTAAAAGGTATTTTTAGCACTTAATATTTGTAAAACTATCTTTTGGGAGCTTCTTTTGGAACTCTTCCATTACATAAGGAGATATTTAATTCAGGAAGAAGTGCTAAATAGATTATTTTATTTTTTTAATGTTTTGTTTATTTTTGAGAAAGAGAGTGAGAGTGGGGGAGGGGCAGAGAGAGAGAGGGAGACCCAGAATCTGAAACAGGCTCCAGTCTCTGAGCTGTCAGCGCAGAGCTGGATGCAGGACTCGAACTTGGGAATGACGAGATCACGACCTAGGTCAAAGTCAGACGCTTAACCGACTGAGCCACCCAGGCAGTTAATGGCTAATTATCTAAATAGATAATTTTGAAATGTTGCTCTTCTCAAAACTATAGTCTTTCTGCTTCACAGATCTTTATCACCTACTTTTTAATAGTACATAATTTATGAGATAGCATGATATCTGACCTTATTTTTAAAACCCATTTAAGGAAAGTGGAACCATTAGAAACAGGAAAAGGGAAAAAATGTTTAGGACCTACTATAGTAGGAATATCGGTAGAGACTGTTTTATGTTAATTTTTTAAATATTACAGCAACCTGACAGCTCACATCCTGGAGCCTGCTTCAGATTCTCTGTCTCTCTCTGTCTCTCTCTCTCTCTCTCTCTCTCTCTCTCTCTCTCTCTCTCTCTCTCCTGCTTGCACTCTGTCTCTCTCTCTCAAAACTAAATAAACATTAAAAAATTAAAAAAATATTACAGCACCCTTTCAGATAGAGTTTTACCATATTATAGTTTGGCAACTAAAGTTCAGACAGGTTAAATACTCCAGCGTGGTAAGCAGCTCTAAGTCAAATAGTAATGCCGGGTGAGACCCAAGCCGTCGTTCCTTCTTCCCAGTTACTGAAATGTGCTGTATGGACCCAAAGGCCCCTGAACCCAGAAACAAGCAAGTGCATAATGTATGTCCAGCTGACATTTCATTATGTAGCCAATAGCATGTCTTTGCTTCTAGACTGTATGACCACACTATTGTGGAAATAGATAAACAGAAAGTCTGTATAGATGTATATGGATACAGTTATTCTTCTAAATAATATCTGTGTGTCTTTTATTATAATAAGTATCTTTTAAGAGAATTGAGAGAGAGAGAGGGAATTGTTAGGGATCTTGTGTCTTGACTTTGCTACAGTTTTATTTTGAAACTTAAATATCCCTTCCTTATGTGGTTTACTGTGGACGTAATACTGTTATTTTCTCTTAGCTCTCCCATACGAGACTTAGGGAATCAGTGAGTGAAAGAAAGAAAGAAACTAACAGTACTTTTTATTTTAGCTTTGCTTGTTTTCTCTCACTTTTATATTATTTATTTGGAAATTAGAATTTTTCTCTTAAAAGTATCTGTTTTAAAAGATATGGGTTTGTTTTTTTTTTGCATCTTCATAAATGATGACTTGGTGAAATTAGTCATTTAAGATTGACAAAAATATGACAACTTTTGCAAAGTTCAAATGGACTTTTAATATTCAACACCAAAGAATTTTGCCTAATTAAAGCTTCTGTTTAATTAAAATCACAATGCACAGTCCTTCATTAAAATTAACACAGAAAAAGTTCTTTCTTGGTCCTTGGAGAGGATATTATATGCAAGCCCTGATGTGTGGGTTGCAAAATGTCACTGGAATTTATATGCATTACTTGTCTAATTGCAGTAAATGTAGCATGTCCAGATAGGTTTAGAGTGAGAAGGCTGTTTGTTACTTACTGGAAATCACTGGAAACCTCAGTACCCAGAGGCAGCTGTGCCCAGGTCCTTCACCTCTCCCCAGAGACAGCTAAGAAGACTCCTGTTGGACCCTGTCTCTCATGGCGGGAGCAGTAAACATGACAGGCTGTTGGGAGCCATCTGTTTAAAGTGGCTGCTGCTTTGTATGCGGCAGTGAACTTGAGATCAGTTTTCTGTCTTTCTTCATGGTAACAGTCTTATTTGGTGTCACAACAGGTGGAAGTTGATGGGTCGAAACTAAATGTGACCAGCACGTGGAACCTGGCTTCACCCTTATTGTCTGTCAGCGTTGATGGCACTCCGAGGACGGTGCAGGTAAATGTTCTGATGATTTACTTTGAGGGGTCCATCAAGTCCAAAATCCTTACCAGCACCTGGGTGGTTAACACTGACAGAAGTGGCTGGGAGAGGCTGCATTTTATCCTGTCTCATACATTCCATAGTTGAAAACATTGTTTCGTTCTTGAGGGGATCTTGAAGCAAGTCTTATTCTGAGGAATGGATGTTTTCTTTTTTTCAGGCAATCCAGGAGTGTCAGTGTATTATTATTGTTGTACATAGAGCATCCTGCGTGTTTTTCTAAAAACATGGGAAGATAGCATTTTTGTTGCCATTGTGGGTTTTTAGTTATAAAATATGACTTTGTTACCTTCCTTTTCTGTGTGACTGAGATTGTGTACTGTTCGATCAGCAGAAATGTGAGCTGTTCAGATGGACTTGCCAGAACACCTTGATGCCTTTTAAAAATTCAGTGATCTTAACATGTTAACCTTTCTTTTCCCTGCAAAATACAATCTCTTACATTGAGGAAATGACTTGAAATCCAGAGTTGACTGAATATTCTTTGCTATCGGTGGCTTCCGTATTGAAGTAGAAGCTACGAAGGGAGGTGCTGCCAGAGTTCCTGCAGCTCACCTCCTAGTTGAGGGGGAGGGTTCCAGGGAAAGCAAAACAAAGAACTCCACGTAACATGTGACGATCACATGCAGATAAAAATCCAGACCCCCACCCCCACCCCACAGTATTAAACGCTCATTCTTTTTGTTGTTGTTTTTTACAAAAATATTTTTGTGTTCCCTTAACTTGATTTTACACGGGAAACTGATTTTTAAAACCTAGAGAAGTCAAGAGAATCACAGATCAAGACTTCTCTATACCAGATTCACATATATCTCTATTAGAGACAGAGGTAGTCTAGAAACTTCCTGGTAAATATTTAATGACTAAACTAATTTATAAGCCAGGCTTAATTGGTAGATTATCTTTATGGTTCTAAGAAACATTGAATGCTTAGGACCGAGTCGTATATTTTGGCTTTGGTTTTCTGGCTTCCCCCAGTATATTTATTCTCTCATATTTTCTTTCATATTCTCATTATGAGGTGAAATACTTTGAGACCCTTGGAAAAAATATCACTGCATAATTTCACACTACCTAGATCCATTCATTGTGTTTTCAAAAAACATGGTTTTGTGATATTTGTTTATGTTTAATAGAATATGCTCTGCCCTGAATGTGCTGTGGCCAGGCAGCATTTTCTGGTCAGGTAACATAATATGACCTGACAGTAGAAAGATACAAATTCCTACTACCCAAATTAGTGTATCATATTTTCAGCTTCCTTCTCAATGACTGTGCAGATAGGTAGCCTGATGGCACTTTTATATGTAGAGTTTCTAGCTAAATTAATACTGGATATGTATTTAGAATAATTCCCAGAAATATTTTCCCTATCATAGGGATACTGTTCAGTAAATCCTTGTCATTCTTGTAAGTTCTTTGCTTAAACAAACAAAAAAAAAAAATTAGGGGCTTCTGGGTGGCTCAGTTGGTTAAACATCTGACTTCAGCTCAGGTCATGATCTCACTGTTAGTGAGTTCGAGCCCTGCGTTGGGCCCTGTGCTGACAGCTGAGAGCCTGGAGCCTGCTTCCGATTCTGTGTCTCCCTCTTTCTCTGCCCCTCCCCTACTCATGCTCTGTCTCTTTCTCTCTCTCAAAAATAAATATAAATTAAAAAAAATTAATGTGAAATAAATGACCCCTCACGCAGACCCCCCTCACTCTGGAGAAGGGTGTTGCATCTAGTTAAGTACCATTTCATCAGAAGGAAATAAATTCATTCAGAGAGGTAAATGGTAGACTGGATAAAAACCAAACAAACTCATTGACCTAAAAAATGCTGAGAAAGTTTTCCTTTCCAGAATAGATGGATTTTATTCACTCTTTATGGACATTAACATTCACTGTTGACTCTCTTTCTCTCTATAACATGGTTCCCATGAAATTAATAACATAATGAGGGTAAGTAATACACAGTACTTACTGTGTATCAGGCACAGTTCTGAATGCATTTCATGTATTCATATCATCTTCACAGCAACTGTATGTAGTGGGTACTATTATTTACACTTTTGTATATGAGGCAGCTGAGGCTCAGAGAAAAGTAAGTGACCTCAAGGTCACGAGGCTGATAGGAGGTAGAGCCAGGCAGGCTTGCTGTAGGACCTGTGCTGTTAAGCATTACACTTTACTGAGGCAAGCTAAGCAACTTCTCTGTGGTTACAAAGCTAGGAAGAAGCTAAGCAGAAATTTGAACCCTGGCGCTGGGACCCCAGAGTGTGAGCTTCTAACCTTCTTTTTTTTTTTTTTAATTTTTTTTTCAACGTTTATTTATTTTTGGGACAGAGAGAGACGGAGCATGAACGGGGGAGGGTCAGAGAGAGAGGGAGACACAGAATCGGAAACAGGCTCCAGGCTCTGAGCACATCAGCCCAGAGCCCGACGTGGGGCTCGAACTCCCGGACCGCGAGATCGTGACCTGGCTGAAGTCGGACGCTTAACCGACTGCGCCACCCAGGCGCCCCTGAGCTTCTAACCTTCTAACCACTGTGCTATATAGTACTTTTTGATTGTCTCCATCAGAGTTCTTCAGATAATAATGTACCTTTCCTTCATGCTTTAAGCCAATATGTTCAAACTTAGGTGTGCTTCAGAATCACCTGGAAGGCTTGTTAAAACTCAGATGGTTGGACCCACCCCAGAGTTTACTCCCATTTAGTAGCCCTGGGCTAAGTGTGCATTTCTAGTAAGTTCCCAGGTAATGCTGATGCTGCTAGTCTGGGGAAAGCAGTCTGAAAACCATTGCTTTAAACCCTTGCAATCAGAGAATAAGCTGGGTGTGAGGAGCAAAAGTGAAGTGAGTAGGAACCAGGTCATTGGAAGCCTTGCTAATTACATAATGAGGCCACTGCTTCACCCTTGGCTGGTGGGACTCGTGGACGAGTGTTCACAAACGAAGTGATGCTGTGGAGAGGATTGGGAGTTTAGGAAGAGCTTGGTTCAAGTTGCATTGTGGAGACAGGATGGGAGGAGAATGAGACTGGACACAAAGAGAGAAGTTAGGATGCATTTCAGAAACAGAGGAGGGAAATCATCTTGTCTCAGAATGTTAACTGTTCAGAGCATTGTGTGGGGAAGGGATTTGAAATGACAGGAGAATGAATGATGGCTTCACAGTGTTCTTTGTGGATTTGTCCTCCACCTGCCTTAAGCCTGGGCAGACCTTCAGAATTTGTGCCCAACTCCCTTTTCTCTGTGCTGACTTCTTGGGCTGAGTTCCTCAAGACTTCAGCTCAATACCTTCAAATAGATAGCTATGAAAATGTGGCTATGAGTTTCAAAGAAGAACTAGGATGGATATTATCACAGGTGATTTGCAAGTGATTTTACAGTAATAATGGCTGGAGTTTTTTTTCCCCCTAGATTTTTGTGCCTGCATTTAAACTTTTTTTATTGAATATTTTATATACACAAATATGTATTGATCTATATAAAATCTAAAGAAAAACACAACAAAAACATTACTTACCATCTAGATTAAAAAAGGAAAAAAAATTACCAATATTACTGACTTTCCTCTGCATTCCCCCTTACTTAAAATCCTTCCTCCTGCCCCAAGAGATAACCACAATCCCAGTTTTTAAATGTATCTCTCCCTTCCTTTTCTTTAAGGATGTTATATATATGTACAACTGTAAACAGTATATTGTATAGCACCATATTTCTCTGTGCTTCTGTGAGTTGCTTTCTCCTCCAGTATTAGGTTTGTGAGATTGATCATCTGGATGTATGTAGTTTTATCTATTTCCGTGCTATGTAAGTCCTATTAATATACCACAATTTATTCTTTCTCCCCTAAGTAGATATTTGTGTTACTTATTTTGTTTTTAGAACAAACACTGCTTCTCTGAACATTTCTATGTTTCCTCTTGAAATCGTTTCTCCAAGGAGTATGCTAGCCAATAGAACAGTTGGCTTGTAAGGACCATGCATTCTTAATCCTACACAGTAATGCTAAATGGTTTTTCCTGTATGGCTGTACCAATGTATATGTCCACCAACAGTGCTGCTGCTATCAATAACATGAATAATAATAAAACCTTATTGTATATTTACTATGTTAGGCACTGACTCTCCTATAATACCTCATCTGTATCAAAGTATTTAATCCTCACACCAATCTAGTGTACTAGTATTACCCTGCATTTTGAGTTAGGGAAACTTGAGGCCTATAGAAACTAAATTGCTCACCCAAGGCATTCTGCTAATAAATGGAGGAGCCAAGATTTGAACCCAGGAATCTGTTCCTTTAACAATTTTGCTTCACATCCTAGGTAACCCTTGATATCCAGACTACTTAAGTTATCTTTTTGTGGTTTTAATGTATAATAGGTTGGTAATGACAATGAGCATTTTAAAAATATATTTATTGTCAGTCCTGTTTTCCTTTCTGCAAACTGCCTGTTCATGGCTTTTGCCCATTTTTTCGTTTTATTGGAGCATTCATCTTTTACTTAATGATTCATAAAAGTTCATATTTTGTGAATCCCGATCCTCTGTTAGTGGCTCCTGTAGTAATTCTGTGTTTAACCTTTTTAAAGAACCACTGTGCTGTTTTCTACAGCAGCTGCACCATTTTACATTTCTACAGTAATGCACAAGGATTCCAATTTCTGCACCTTTTCACCAGCACTTGTTCTTTTCTGGTGGTTTTATTGTTCTTTTATAAACTTACCCTAATGGGTGTGAAATGATAGTACCTCATTGTAGAACAAAATTTATTTAGATAGTTATTGAGAAAACATTCTGAGTACTTCCTAATATTTGTCTTTCTTTTTATCTGTTTTACCGCATAACTGCTTTGCTGCACAAATGAAACTTTGTCAGGGCAAATAAAAGGAACTTTTTTTTTTTTTTTGGTTTATTTTTTGAGAGGGAGAGAGAACAAGCAGGGGAGGGGCAGAGAAAGAGGGAG